GTAGCATCTAGCCAGGAACTATTTTGATCACGGAGGTCTATCTCCACACCGTTGATGATGGCTGTAAACCAGAAAAATAAAAACATACTTTTAAGCACATATAATTTGAATAAATTAAGGTGCTATAAGTATTTAGGTCAATTAGCCATAGAACGTCACGAAGGAGATGGAGAAGGTGGCCCCACTTTGCCTGGCATGGAGCTGGAACCGTGGCCGGAGTTGTCCTCCCCAAAATGTTGCACCCACTTCAGACACGGGCCCACACGTCAACATAAAGACTCCTACTATTTATACAGCAACGAGCATCGTATAATCACAAGAGCCTGAAACAGCTACGAGAAAAGAAAAAGCTTTTGTGCTATACCCTGCATATGACCCGGGCTTAAAACTCAGTGATTTTGCAAATCGAAACCAGTTTGCCCATATTTAAAGACAGAAAAGGATTGTCTGACACAGAAACCCTGGCTAGACCTAACTGGATTCACACGTGGGCCCCTTCAGCAAGTCCTGTGATCCTTAGGATGAATATTCTCTCCTTCGATTTATTAAGGGATGTGTAAGAGCTGAAGTTATAGAGTGCTAAAGCAGGTGGGAAGACTAATGTTGTTGATATTTATTATACATATGGGTAAAAAGCTTTCTTATGTTAGACAGAGAGGCTGCAACCCATTGCAGAAAAGAAGCTAAGAAAATAAAATTAGCTTGAGGAATGCATTGTGACATCGGCACATTCTAAAATAACAAACGTATTCGAATTCCAACATATTTTAACAACTGTTGCATCCAACTAGTTCTTCTGGAAATTTTAATATTTGCATATGACACTTTCGTAGTGCTTTCAACTCCATGAAGACTGTTCTCAGAAAGCTGCATGTGATATTTAGAAAGTTACTTATTGCTATTACACTACCCCAAAAAAAACATAATTTTTTGAGTAACGTAAAGAGGAGAAAACCACACCCAGCTACCAGCTTTATCTCAACACCAGCTCCTGCTACAGGATTGCTCTGCACTAACACAACCCAAAGCTCTCACACGCTTCTAATTTTTGCGACTGGAAAAGTCGGGCTTCAACTATTCCATCTTCTGATGCTGATGGGAAATTTCCCAATTATTCCTAAAGGCATGATCTTCATTTTATGCTGGTTGTTACATTCTGACACCTTTGATTCTTTTCCCAACTCCTTCTTGAAATTCCAGAGCTTGTAGGACACCAGCCACGCAGCCCCTCTTGTCTTTCCATGCGAGCATATAAACGCTTCATCAGTTCTGCTTCAGTTTTAACCGGGAAGAAGAAGAAAGGGCTACATACAGCAAAACACCTTCGAAATATGCTTAATTTTTACATTTTTATGTCCAATCGATCTCCAATTCGACAGGCTGAAGTTCTTTGCTAGGGGACGGATTTAAACACGTTTCATTGTGTTCCTGCGTTTGGGCCAAGAGGAGAAAATACAGCAGCAGCGAAAGAGGAAGAGAAAAGTACTGTAAAATCAACCCTTCCTTGAGCCTAGAAACAAATGTCTTCTATAAATCCTCTAGGACTCTGAGCTGCCACAGACATCTGTAGGAGCCCTCCCACTACGTTCAGTACTCGGACTCGCTGCCAGCAGACTCGTACTGTGTCAGCGACAGATTTGTGAGAACTGAAGCAAAAGTGCAGAGTTTTCTATGAAAAAGAGCAGAATAAAAGCCTTTTGCCCAGCTCTATGTTCCTTCCAAATACAGTATTTGAAATAACGGAAGTTATTTTAATCCATATTGCTTTTACAAAATAAACTAACATCACAAAAGGGGTTCTAATCCAGCACTTCAGTACTAGCTGAACTTCCAGCACGTGTAATTCCTGAAGCGTTCTTAAAAACACTTGTGTGCGACTCCCAGCTTGGAAACAACGTGTGCAAGACTGAATTATACTCATCGATGTGAATCTAAAAAATAGCATTTCAAGAAAAAACCCAAAACACAACCAAAAATAAACGCCCCCCCCAAAAGCCAACAAATCAAGCGCCAAAAGATTTGTGTTTAAAGGGTGAAAGATTTCACCACAGCCTGCGTAAGACTAACAGCTAGAAAAATCTTCACGTCTTTTACTACAACTTTTAAACTACTCTAAAAGGAGAAATGGATAATGCTATTGTTTAAGGGGAAAAACTCCTGTGCTGGATTTCAACTGAAAGTATCGTTTAGTCATTTCCTGAAAGAGCAAGGATTCGGGATATGTTCAAACGGACCCCAGAACCAATCTCTTCAACACTGATAGGGATCCAAAACATCCACTAAAGGAATTAAATATTATTCAAGGAAAGAAAAATACGTAGGATCTTCCGGACACCGTGTATCGAGATTGTGAGGTGTTAGTAACAACTTCAGAACTTGGCAGGCATTTCAAGGGTTTCCATGGCAAGTTTCCATTACTACTGATGTTCCTAAATAGAGAGGCAACAAGGCTAGAACACCTCTAGAAAGAATTAGGATGCCATTCCAAGAGTATCCAGCAGAATAATAACTAGCCTTACCCAAAACCTAGCCTGTAAGGGAGGTTTCTGACAGACTGTTGACAGATGACTCTACCACCCTCTCCTTAATTTTTCATCCCTTTCCACCCCTTGTCTTGTCATCGAGGGGACATTTTCTAACAAAAGAAACAGGCTCACGCCATCAGTGCTCAGGAATCAAGCGGCTTTACTCCCTTCAACACCATTAATCGATCGCTCATTGATTGAAACTTACTGGTACCATAAAGAGAGAAACATTATTTCACGCTCCTTTGAGATGGACTAAAACAGATGCCAACAAAATGGGTGTTACTGAAAGGCAGCGGTTTCTAACGCGAGACTCATTGTAAAGATCTTTTTGGATACCAAAGACATTTTTGGATACCAAAGTAGTAGGTGAAGAATTTTTGACTTTGTCCACTGTGGAAACCAAGCAGGTGCTCTGGTTTGAGAGCACCAAGACATCTGTTCTTTGTATATTGGTCATTAAGAACTCGGCGTCTCCCTTAATTCCCCGCTGAACGCTGCCTGTCAGCAAAACTCCTACAATCCCCGCCCTACATTCCAAACAGTTCAGCTCTAGGTAGCAGAAAGAGAAAACACTTTATCTAATCTCACCTGCAGAAAAGATGTATAAAATCATGTAGATGCTTCCTATGGCATCAAGTAATAATAATAATGAAAAGGGGTACTACCCAAAAAGCAATTTTGCCATTTGAGTTGGCTCAAATACCACCTTTTCCCTTCAGGACAAAACTTTGCAGACACTTCTAACTTACGAACACCTTTTTAATGTTACTTCTTTTTAATCTGTTATCACTATAATAAATACAACAAGAGACTGTAAACCTTCTTAAGGGAATACAGCAATTGTCCTTTGTAATCCTCCAAGTGTTGTATTGTCTGAATTGAGCACAATTCTGTCAGTCACTACCAGAGCTATTAGAAGCCAAAATCTTACGATTAAACGTTTCGGAGCTGTTATCAAAGTGCCTGATCTCTTGTCTGCTACAAAAAGCTCCGAAGGCTGACTGAAAAGTACCCAAGGAGAAAAAAAACCGCTCAAAGATCACATGCTGCTGGATTTGGCTCACTCCTGCCTCCTCCTCAAAGCCCTGACCTTACTCAGAAGGGCAGCCTGGAGGCTCTGCATTCGGAGAGAAATGTTTCAAGGTTTGCTTATTTGTGCCACAAGGAACTTCCAAATATTCATTCCCAGCTTCAGGCCACTCACCTTAAGGCAAATCTCCCCACCCTACCACGGGAAGAGCTGCGCTGGCGTTGTCCCTCCCCCTGACCGCACGTCTCCCACCAGCAATGCTGGAGATTATTTGTTCCTTCAACCAAAAACTGCTTGTCGGGGTGGGGGGGGGAAGTCTGAAAGCTCAAAGAAATAGTTGCATTTCATGGTTAAGCTTGAGGAAAGTTTTCTTTCTGAAGAAGCGGTCCGGCTGCGTTGTCAGTGAAACCGGCAGTAGAAGCGGTCAGAAGATTTGAGCCAAAAAAATGTTTCGACCAGAAAACCAAGACAGCATCGAAATTATCTGTAAGTACAAAGCAGAACTTCTTGTGAGCTGCAGCTGGGAGGGCCTCCGGTCTCCTTTTCCCTTGGAAACGCTGTAACTCATCTCGCCTACATTTCCTACAATGCAGCGCGGTACCTCACGCAAGGGCAGAGCGGAACGCTGACCTGAGAACAACCTCAGTTTAGATCAATACGGGAGAATGTAGGATTTGGATGTACTGACCTCTCTGCTCTGCCAGAAGTTTTGACACCGCCTCCTTGCATTGCCAATTTCGAACAAAATAACCTTTTAATAATATATTTCCCAAACAGGGGAAGAAAAAAAAAGTGTGGGGGGGGAAGAGGCACTTCAAGTGGCACAGGCATCACACAAATATTCATCTCAGCGATTTTCTTCTGGTTTGCAGAGCAAATGCTGCCATTACTGACACAATCCTTTACCGACGGCTAACTCTCGAGTCCGGCAGTCACCAGTGTGACCCCCCGTGCGTGCCTGCTCCCGCTCCCTCTAACCCTCATCTGCATAGAGAACTGTGGGGCTCTGTCTCTGCTGCAAAGACAGAAAATAACGTCGCGTACTGGACACACACCACAGCTTGAAAAGAAGTTCCCAAGCTCAAGTTTTGGGAGTGAGTGATGAAGGATCCGTTTACAGCAGGCGTGCAAACTGGGATAAGTGATTATTTCCGTTCACCTGAAGGACTTGTTTCACTGACGGGCGTGCTCTCTCCACGTACCTAAACCTTTTGGTAGCCGACAACGCTTATAAATGCCGGCACAGCTTAGCGACAGCTGCTTTTTCATCACGGTTGCATTAGCAAAACTCGGACACGCACACGTTCAGCAGAACTCTTACCACCACCACCTAGCCGGGACGATTCAGGCTGGGCAAAGAGATCCCTTTTCAATTCTAACATACACAACCCCAATCTTGAATTTTTTCCCTTTGATTCCTCCTTCCTTCAGCCAAGACTTACCAGAGCTTCAGGATCTTTATTTTCTTCGCTGCTGTATCCATAGTAGTCCGGGGTTTTATCCAAATCCTGTATATTCCCTTGTGCCCTCAAACCCTTTTCCGAATGACAAGACTGGCAAATCGGCGCATTGCCCATATCCTACGAGCGGGATCGCCCTCGCGCCGGCGCTCCCAGAGGACGACCGATGATCCGGGAAAAGAGGAGCCCGCCTGCGCTCCCCCCTTCCCCGAGCCCAGGAGAACCCGAAACCCCAGCAACTGCGGGCAGCGCGCGGTGACCATTTCCAATTC